GGCCCCAGCCCCTCCATTGCACCGATGCATCGTTAATGGGCGACATCATCAATCGAACACGAACAATAACACTTGTTATGCGCCTATCTTTCATAATCACACAAAGGGGCACAGCGCTTGACGGCAACAACATCACCAAAGGAAAATAAACTACCACCAACGCCACACAAGTCGAATGACTCCCACCATAATGACAACAGGCAGAGACGGAAGGGGGTCGCTGCTCGATCTAATTCTCACGTTAAGCTAAGCGCGCCATTGTTCCCGTGCTCTGTGGCTTGTGTCTTCGTGGCGTGTGGTTTCTGCTCGCATCTTTTTTTTTCTGGAGATACGTCGTGTTTCAACTGCATTCTGCTGGTCAGATCTCCGACAGCTACGATAGAGAAGAATTGCTGTACAACGTATACTGTACCCACCGCAAATAAGGGATACCCGCCACCGGTGGGCATCTTGATCCAGTAACCGTTGCTGCATGCCGCCAGATTCCTCCCCGTGGCCTGTTGCGCGGAACGTTCCCCGAAAAGCCCTGGTCGAATGAAGACGGGTGTATCGTTGATCGAGGAGGGACAAGCGACAACACACCACCATATCAGCAGCAGCAGAGTCAACACTGCTTGCGGTGCAAAACAATATTAACGTTACACACGTGCTGCGAATTTCGGAGCGTGAACACTTTCCAGGAAGAGACGTAGTGCAATAAATGAACCAAGACGTCGCACACCATACTCCCCACATAAAGCACCTAATTCCCTGTATCAACCATATCCAATTGCGTCAGCAAGTAGGACCCCCTCTCGACCGGAAGGAACAAACGCATCCATGCCCCGACCCCCCCCCAGCCCAAAAAGCCTGGTGTGAGGTCTCACGCCACAGGAGAACCCCCCCCCCCTCCGGCGTTCTCCTTCGCTTTCTCGTCACCGCTCACCTCTGAGCATTCTTCGCCTCCGGTCACCGTCGTCAGAATCATCATCGGAATCATCGTCGTCATCTTCGTCGTCATCTTCGTCGTCTCCCTCGGACGCGGCGGCGGAGCTTTCCTCGAAAAAGATGTTGTGCCCCCCGTCCGCGCTGTAGAAGTCACCGCGTTCGTTGTAGCTGCCGGCTACCGTGTAGAGGCCGGGGTACCTCCCGACGACGTCTATCACCTTGCAAGAGTCTTGAGCACCGACCCAGCAAGTGTTCACGAGCAGACAGAAAAAAGGCGAGGGTACGTAAGAGACTTGCGTGAGACACTGCTGCCGTCCCAACAGACCAATCAAGAGTCTTGAACGCAGATGCCGGTGGAAGACACCAGCAGACAAAAAATAGAGCACGAGAATGTGCAGCAGAGACTGCTGAGCGACCGAGCCCGAATAGACCAGTTGCACGAAGCTGGCGATAAGAAAAGACTGAGTAAACGCCACCTCCTTCGCATGAAGCTTCCTCGCATTATCTTTACCGCCGGACATACGACCGAGTACAATCAACATGTTGCATGATGTAAGAAACCACACCCCCTGGGCCGGTTTGCAAAGCTCGATTACTCCGCCACAAAAAACAAAAGACGGCGGTTTCGAAAGTGGCCCGGTTGGAACCGTCTCGTCGAACGTGAGATCTCCGAAAATGACTGCATCGTTGTTTGATCTCGGGCCTCCTCTTCATCATGGGGCAAAACGTTGAGCTTTGAAAACCTGTTCCGGGGGTGGCGGAATCGTATTCAATACTATGCAACCTACAGATAACGGGGGGTTCAGTAGATCCCGCCGTGCCCCATGGTCCTACCTCCACCTTCCCGACACCACAAAAATCTCCGCATTCTACCCCCTAACGGATAACATGTGCAGACATACGCATGAAAACTCTCACCGTCCAAGATAACCAAACATCCCCTCGTATCAAAACACGTGGTGGCACAAGCATGCAAGGCAGGTAATATAGCACGCAGAAGGCAAAGCACCGCAGGAAGGGTGGGTAGGGGGAAACCCTGACGTATGACAACGGGATGGAGGAAACGGCTCAAATGCTGTGAGCGCTGACTTGAATGGAAGACAAGAAAAAAAAAGAAGGCATCAATGCACACACGTCTCTGTCTCACCGTCCACGACAATCTCGGGAGCGCTAGCGACCGGCGACGGCGTCTGCTGCGCACCGACTTCGCCCCCATCGTCAGTGGCGGAATCGCCCCCGCCCCCATTGGACGTGTCATCTGCGGTGGACGTGGAGGCGGCGGATGGCGAGGGCGTTGCTAATGAGTTGTCGCTAGTGCAGGCCACGGCGGGTACGGCCCCGTTGAACGCCTGCTCTTCGCAGCCCTCGCAGGTGACCTCCGACCATGCAGTGACCTTGATGTCAGCAGGGTGGCTGGCGCAGTCTCCCACCTTTTATATTCGTTGTGGTGGTGGCGGCGATGGTGGAAAGTAGGAGGAGGGTTGATGTTGGGGTGATGGTATGAACGGGGAGGCGGGGGGGGGAGGGGCGTGCAGCTACCATGACCAGACCCTGTATACCCCAAACGTGCTTCGATACCTACGATGCCCAAAGGCTCTCCCATGACAGCAGCACACCGGATTCGCTCCTTGAAGTTCCCGGACGTTCATAAGCCCATTGTCCCTGTTTCATGCCTCTTTCCTAGACAAACCTATTGAGAGCATTGTCCGACGTCTGCCAGAGCTTCGTCCCTGTGTTATGCGCCGCCCGACAAACCTACCAAAGCGCGGATCTCCGACTTCTACCAGACCTTTGTCCCTGTTTCACACTCTCCTACACACAAACTTTACTCCGTGTGTGTGTTTCGTTCTCATGGCTTACCGTCAAACGCGGGTATCCGCTTCCCGCCGGGGCAAGCGACCAAAAGCCAGAGGTGCAAGCGCCGAGCCGTCTCTTCGCCGCGCTTCCCCCCTCTCCCACGCTCACCGCCTTCTCGCTGTCGTCTGAGAGGGCAAGGGGGTGTCCACATTGAAGGTACGGTGGCGTAAACGTGAAGGGCGAATCATCAACAGGTGTCTGTTTCGATGCAACCAGCAGCAGGTTGACAGCTCTGTAGCACCCAGAGAGGCTACTGGCTCCTAAAATCGGGGGCGAGTGCGTGGAAAAAGTCTGCTATTGGCAACAACAACAACAACAACAACAACAACAACAACAACAACAACAACAACAACAGCAACAAAAGAGGAACAGCAAGAATAACAGAACCAGTAGCATCGAGATGAACAAGATGGAGGTAGGTCTTGGGCTAGTGTGAGCCGGTATAGCACTCCCATATCGTAGGTATCAACAGGTCGGATCGTGAACCTCACCAATCGCGTTCCATGCCTTCTCCAAACACACAAGGCTGGGATTGTGTCGTACCTAACATATCCTGAGGCAACAGACGTCGCCTGGTGGCCCTCCGCTGCCTCCTGTTGTCCTCGCTGTCATCATCATCATCGTCCTCGCGCTCCGAGAAGAAGAGTTCCGCAGAACGGTCCTCGGAAATATAGAGGCTGCCTCCGTTGCGGGTGCCCTCCTCGAAGTAAACGCCGGGTGTGTACCCGTACCCTCCCGTGACCTGGAGCGTTTCGCAGGAGGCTGTCCAACGCCAGAGCGATTGGCGTGGGCGGTTAGGGAGAGCGGACAGAGAGCGAGATTAGCGAGAGCAGTTGGCGAGGGCTGTTCCCGAGGGCTGGCATCGAGAGCGGATAGCGAGAGCGGTTACAATAGCGAAATCGGTGAGCGAGAACTGATAGCAAAAGTGGATACGAGAACGGAGAGCGAAAGCTGTCAGTGAGAGTGGCTAGCGAGCGTGGATAGCGAGCACGGATAGCGGGAGCTTATAGCGAGAGCAGGTAGCGAAAGCTGACAGGGAAAACGGCAAGCGAGAGCGGTTAGCGAGGGCGAGTCCAAGGAGCAGTCCGCGTGTGAGGTGGGATACGCGAAGGAACGGTTGAGCAATTGAGCAAAGGAAAAACGGGAACGAGGAGGAGGGGAACGGTGGCGCATGGGCAGCTCATGCAGACCAGGACTCGGATCGAAGCGATCTGGTTGTGCAAATCTTTGGAAGCCCAGGGCATAAAACTGTTCTGGTCGGAAGCCCCCGTTACCCAATATTAATCCATCCAATTTAATTATACTGCTCCAGACTAATATTGACATTGTATAATGACTAAACCATCGAGCTGCCGTCTACCTTACGAGTGAGAGGTGCCTCAGCGGGATGTATATGATGCTGTACACAACAGCCAGGACCGGCAGTCGTGACATATGTTGTCGCCACGATAAAACGTATGTCAACCCCCACACCAAGGGATACCAGCCTGTGTAGGCCTCTGCAGTAGAATTATGGGCTCGTGAAGTGCAGAGAAACACGTGCACACCTATGTATACATCGACCATCATAGACACGAGAAGCCCCAGGGCCTCCCGCAATCAAGCCTCCCGCAATGAAGACTCTGCGGGAAGCTCACATGCGTGTACCAACCAGGTCAGGTGTGCATTCAGAATTTGGGGGTCCGCCCCACAAACATTATTGGCTCCACTCTCACCAAGTTTCCGAGATTCCGTTCCGGTGGCCGCAGCAGAGCCCACCGCTGGCGTGGAATCGCACCTCCTACCGAGGGCCAAGGCCGCAATGGCCGCCACCGTCACTGATGTGCGTCCAGCCGTCATGGTTGCTCTTGTCCCACAGCACTAGCGGAAACAGCCCGGGAGCGCCGGTCGCTGTTGGTCGAAAAAGGAAAAAATGATGTTCTGGGCGGTGAGCGCCTCTCCCTTCTCTCTCCCCCTCTCAGCTCACGGCACTGTTCGAACACCGAACCGGCAGAATGTAGTTCGCGTTGGAGGGCAATAATCTCTGGCCCTTGACTTCTCTTCTTCGCTACGCCGCCCTCTTTGGCCTGCTGCGCGTTTTGCGCGGCACAGGCGGAGGAGAGCGGAGAGTTTTTATTTTTTCGAGATCTCCGAAACTCGATCTCCGAGACTCGCCGCTGATCTCCCAAACGGTTTGCGTCAAGTGCGTTCCTGTTCTACGCATCAGTGCAGCAGGATTGCATAGGACGAGGTTCGTCAGCAGTGGGGCGAGGGAGAGAGGATCGAGGGTGCTTTTGTACTGCTGCGTAATGAGGGTACTCATCACTGCTCTTGGCTGCTGCGGCTGCGTCGGCGTGTCTGCGTTCGTGACCCCGCTGTCTGTGAGTGCCCTGATGGATGATTACAACAGCGCCAACCACCTGTCTTGTCACGTGCATCGTGAATGTCAGACGCATTCCGACATTCCCGTGTTCGCTTTCGCCCCTCTAGTATACCCCTCTCTCTCATCGGGACCTTGCGTCAGAAACAATACATACAAATCGTTTTTTAACCTACCCGTGGAGTACTGCTGTAGGCTAATGTGCAGAAAAAGACATTGGTTTGGATGTGTACTGCTGTATACGCTACATGGCGATGCGTGCGACGCTCAGCAGTTCTGCCTAGTCTACTTGCTTTAGACGGACAACGCGCTGTGCCCGCGGCTTAACGACGGGTTGGGTTGCCCTGTAAAAGGGATGCGGCAAAGCATGGAGTTGTTAGAGTCGACAACGAAGACCGTTGGGCATACGGTAACTGCTGATAGGTTAGGGGGGGCTATCCCCTGACAAGGCCACAGCTATTATACAACGTAGAGTCGACAACGAAGACCGTTGGGCATGCGGTAACTGCTGATAGGTTAGGGGGGCTATCCCCTGACAAGGCCACAGCTATTATACAACAGCATCAGTTAACTGTACCAGCGCTGACCAGCTTTGGTCCCGGCCGACAAGCCCATCTAGAGGAAAGGTCGAGAACAGCAGCGCATATGATAATGCACTTTTCAAAGACCAAATCGAACACGCATGTCTGGGGATGCTTGTCCTTTTGAATGCCCCTATGAGTGTCCGTGTCATTTTTTAAACCTATTCTCTACATCGCGAATGACAGCAGTTGTTGACTCGGACCCTCCAAGTTGAAGCCCTGTGCACGGTTGAAGGCCATGCCTTTGCCGGCGGGAGTCCCGCAGCAGTGTTAGCGTGTGTCCACCAGATTCACACTAGGAAGGGTATCAATTACTCAGAGAACGAGACAAGTTGAATCGATATTACATCCTTGTCGTGCGATTTTCGCCAGTGCTACTGGATGCCGCGCAAAGGAAGGCAGGCTCTAGTGAGGAATCCCAGGTTAATTGTATGGCCGGCACTATTGCGGGACCCACACTCCAGTAATGTGCAGAAAACAAGTTGATATTGTGCTGTCATCCTGCGCTGAACCTTTGCATGGTATGATCGCCCCACCTGACCGTTCCCCACTTACCTAAACATATCTCGACTCCTCTCAGCTTCGCGAGCACCGCTCCTAATTTGTCGGCGCTGATATAGTACACACGAAAAGATGTGTGGGGTATGTGTGTCGGGGGGGGGGGGGGGGGGGGGGGGGGGGGGGGGGGGGNCTACTTTGCCAAAGGTGGCTCAATAATGTCTTCCCTAGTCTATTTATCCTTTCGGTATCACTTCCCGCCTTCTCAAACCACTTCCTATTCTCCAGACAGCGAACGTCTTCTCCTGGCTATCCTATGCCTCAAACATCTCCCTGTACTTTTATTCTACCTTTCCCAGCTCAGTCATGTACACTTCCGTCTCCTCCTTGTACAGCCGACATTCCGCGACTACATGAACACAGTCTTCGCACTCGACGCCGCAATCACATTTGAACTTTGCGTCTTCATCGTCTACCTTCCGAAGCCTTCGACTACGTTCTCGAAGGACAATGTCCCCGGTGCTGAGTTTGACCTTAAGCTTTGTCCCTGCATCCATTGGTCCATGAAGGTACTCCTTGAACCCTTATCATTCCGTACAGTTCTATGCCCTCCTTTTCCTTGGTTTATTTTCTTAGATTCTGTTCTTCTCTCTCGGCAAAAGCAGCCGATATCTTCTCCTTGAACCCGTTCAGACCCTCCGTATCCAGCGCACCGTCTTCGTCAATTTCTAACCCGTTCCATACGTCACCTACAACCTTGACCCACTCCGTGGGTTGACTTCCCCTCTTTTTATTTGCCCACTTCGCCTCCCAGGCTATTCTCGGCAACCTCTCCTCTCCCATGTCGCACGTGCGATACTGCCATGTCAGCTTCCTTGCGTCTCTTCCCGATCGCAGGGATTGGACCCCCAGTTCTGCCCTGACGGCTGCATTACTTGTGCGCTTGGAGCATCCTAGGATGATTTGCGCTGCTTTCATCCTTGCCGCCACGAGCTCTTTGACTACCTTTTTATTTCCTTCCCATACTTCTCCGGCGTACTCCAGCGGCTGTACTATTACGCTCTTCAAAACCGTCAATTTGATGCGTGTATCGAGGTGCCGGTCTGCGAGTACTTGGTGCAGCTTCCCTGCTCGTGCTTTGCCCTTTTCCGCTACCTTGGACATGTGTGCATTCCGCGAGCAGTCTTTTGCGATCTCTACTCCGAGGTATTTTTACTGGGCCACTACTTCAAGCTCCTCGACCCCCCACTTCCATCTATGTTCTACTGGTTCCTCCCTGTCCTCGTTGCATACCATGACGGCACTCTTCTTATCGTTGGCAGACAATCTCCACCTATCAGCAAACGCCTTCGCCGCATCAATTTGCATGTGGGGATGCGTTTGAGCTTTTTTGCGGAAGAGTCCTTTGTGTTGCACCGCCCGTTCACAGAGGAACGCTTGCCAACGACATACCGTAATAGTCGGAGAGTTGGCACCGGCCGGAGAGATGGCACCGGTCGAGAAAAAAACATTTAAAAAAACGATCGCACCGGGTGCCAACTCTCCGACTTTTGCGGTAAACGTATGCATAGAAATATTTATTTTGTAGCGCGCCGGAGGTACTTAGCAACTCCTGTCTCGTGCTTGAACACTGGAAGGGTTTGGTTATTTGACAACCATGGTCTCATCTTCTCTGTGGTATCTGCCCCTCCAGGGACATGCCAAGTCAGGTTTCGGAGGAGGCCTTGCCGACACCTCCCGGCGAGGGGCCCGGCCGCTACATGTACGTGTGGCGATGATGTCTTCGAGGCTCCCTGTCGTCCCCGACACCGACGCGCCGCGAAGGTATCGCCCACACCGCTGCTGGTGCTGGTTCTGCTGCTTTTTCCTATTGCATGCTACACCAGTACTGCTTGTAGTTGCAGCAATTTCGCTGGCGATTTGTACACGCTGCTCGCACCGGTCGTTCATAAGTATATGCACACGCCTAGCAAGAAACGCTTGTGTATCTACCCGCAGGCTGTCCCTCACGCAATCCCGCGCCTTCGGTTTTCTCGATTTTTGAGGGGGGCTACGTGACCGCGAATCCGACATGCGTGCGTGTGTGCTGATTCTTGTTTGGCATCCGCGGCGCCAACCGGCTGACAATATGCAAACTCGTCAGTCTCAGTGCGGCTTGCAGTTGAATATCGCCTCTCAGAGGCTGATCTGGGGCCCTCTAGCGCGTGAGGTTTTTTCGTCTTGGTCTCTAATATTTTAGCCTACTTTCGTTGATTCTCGACCCAGCAACAGCGCAGCCTTGCCGTTTCTTCCCCGACCGGAAGCCCTCGATGGGACCATGATCGGAGACGTTGGCTTCGACCCGCTAGGGTTTGCGGCTAAAGGCAACCTGGATCGGTGAGCGGCGGAAGACAACTTGAATAGTTGTGGATCAATGTGGAGTTGAAGCAGTTGCCTTGATTGTACGGGAGGCTGTATGTCGAGGTTGGGGGCGGCGACGTGAAACCGAAAGGGTAGGCTGGTGGGTTATGTGTTTTTCGGTCGCCGTGCTGAGCTTGCCGCTTCCAGGCCGCTCCCACCGTGAGCCCTCTCGATTGCATTTTTTTTCGCGACTGCTGTTTCGCTGTGTTGTTTTTTTCGTCCCTGTTTCGCAGGTTATGTGGTGGGGATGATGTGTTTCTTTTTTCCCTTGTTCCTTTCTCACGTGCCGCCCCCCCACCGCTCTAATCCCGTCGCTCGAGATGTTGACATCAAACGAAACTCCAGGTATAGGGAGGCGGAGCTAAAGCACGGACGCTTGGCGATGGTGGCTCTTGCAGGCTGGCCGGTGGCGACGTTGTTCCTCGGCCTGCTCACGAAAGTGGGTATGAGTCGATAAATAGTCACCGGTAGCAAGGGGGTGAATTTGTTGTGTTATGCCCCTCTCCGCTGGCTCGCTAGCGGCGGGTGTACGATGCGCGATCGTGTGCTTTCCGAGAAGGAGAGTGGAGGTCTTTTTTGGCGCACGTATGTCGAGTACCGAGGTCGTCAGGAGATGATGTATCGTTTCTCTGTCCTGGTTGTCATTCCCTCCTTACGCCGGCGTCGTGAAGGCGAGGACTCCAATCGGTCGTGCCGTGTGTTTCCACCAGGTATTGGGTTTGCACAGGAGGAAGCATCTACTGTACGTAACTCACGCGGGTCTCGCACTCGCACTTGCACTTGCGCTCCTACATGGTAGCGATGCGTTTGTGTGAGAAAATGGCCCTCGTGCTGCTGATGAAATCACGTTTCCTCGTCCATGAAGCTGCCCCCCTCTTGCATCCTGACGATGCCTCTTCGATGCCACGCGAACCTCCCCTTCCTTGTGCACGACAAACTTAACCAAAAGTGCTGTACGACTGCGCGCACACCGGTGTTCAATCTCGACCGATTGCGCTTCTCGTTTCTACCCGTCCTACTCTCTTGTCTCTACCCTAGAGTGGTCTTCACCCCCCCTCCCCCCCTCCCCCTCGAATCCGCGTTCCCCTCTTTGGTTTAACATGTTGGGTTCTCCAGCTGATTCCGCCGGCGACGGTCTGCACCGGGAACGGCTGCGCGATCGATCAGACGTGGTCGGGCAGTGCCCTCCCTCTCGAAGGTGCGTACCGTTAGGACGCAAGTTCGTCGGTAGACTCCGGTCTCCGTACGTGCAGTTTTGAAACAGCCGTTATTCACGTCTTTTCCGACGGTAGATCGATAGTGGTACGTAAAAGCCGGTGATATTGTGGGGATCAGAGTTTGCATGTCTACTGATACCGTGTATAATGATACATCAGCAGCTGAAGGGGATACAAAAAAATATTTTGAGGAAGGGAAAAGGGGCAGCGAGCAGCGGCATATTCGGTGCTCCGGCCCGGATTAGCAGGACGGCCTTGAACTGTACTGTACCTGGCAAGCTCATTTAACCCTTCTTTGTTTTATTCAAGCAAAGGATCTCACAGCGTTTGTATGTATCTGGTCGACGACAATTTTATACGGACCACCTTGTCGTGTTTTCACGACCGAGGACCTGTCGGCCCATGCGGGTTGTGTTGTTAGCTTGCCGCCCAACGCCCCTTGGATGTTGAGCTTACCTTTCTCGAGGTCGCTGATGAATATTTAGCGTTTGGTAAGGACACGAGGTGGAGGTGGCACGGGCACCCCAGGGTACTCGCAATATCTCCATCCACCACCCACCCAAAAGATAGCGACATCACACACTCGGATGACCTATTAATAACACTGGTTTCACAACCCGTTCGATCCGCAGCAATTGGCAACGTATCCTTCGTGTACTGGGGGTCGGCGCTGGCCCTCGCAGTTGCGGCGGAAGTAGTTGCGATTCGCAGAAAAAAGTCAAGCGTGGGTCGCATCGGGCCGGACGAGTATAGAGCCGGTGACCTCGGGCTTGACCCCTTAAACTTGGCCGACGACGAGGTGAGGTTTTGTGTGTGATGTTCACACCTTAATACCGCAGGTGACACAAGATACCGCGCCCCCTCGACCGATTTTCAAAGCTTGATTTCTACGAATGAGAAAGAGTGGCAGCGCCAAACGGCGGCGTTGAAAACCGTCTCGTTCGAGAGTGTTCCGCAAACGTACCGTTTCAGCCATACATCCTCTTCGTTTAGAGTCCGAGCTCTGAAAATCGGTCCAGGGGGGTTGATATCTTGTGTCATGTCACCTACGGTAACACTGTACTTGTGTACAGATTTGCAGCTTTTTCTTGTTCGTCGCTGAGGTTCGCTGAGCTGTTCGAGTCACCTGCTTGGGCTGTTGAGCTAGGGAAACACCACCACAACTGCTGTCAGCCGACAGCCAGCCGTGGGTTGGTCCCGCTGCCTGCTTTCATTTTGCATCTTGCGACACCCCTTGATGACACTGCTGTGCTCCTACAATTGTATGAGCCCACCGTGGAGGGATGGATCACTTGTAACCTTGTACATTGTCGGTTGTTGTGCTATTTTTTCTGGACGTCGGCCCTACACACGTTTCGGTACAGTTCTATCGCAGCAGGGAAGTAGAAATACGTGCCCTGGACATGATGCTGTGAGAAAGCAGTAGTCGGGGGAAAGGGGAACAGCACAGTGGGTCAACCGATTTTGCGATGTGCACAACGGTGCCGTGGAAGACGACGCTTCACGTACCCTTTGTTGTCAAGTGTACACAACAGGCGTCCATCTTCAAGCGTCCTGGTTCGCGATGTACTTACAACGGAAAGAATATGCAGATCCGAGCGACATTTTTATGGCTCCTCGAGGCAAATTCCCCAAAACAGGCCGAAAATGTGAACTCAATACGGACCTCCTCGATATTTTGATCCCAAAGGCGTTTTACATGAAACATAAAAGTAAGACTATCTTGTTGCTCTGTCGATGCTGAATATTGCTTTTGGACAGATGAGGCTGCGAGAGATCAAGCACGGCCGGCTAGCGATGGCGGCCTTCGCTTTCCACTACGCGGGGGTGTTGCTGGAGAAGAAAGGCGTTGTGGTGGGACACCAGCTGTGGGGATCGGTCTGCGTCTACAACCTCAAGTGGGGTCTGAGCTCGCTGCCCCCCCCAATCTGCTACCCAAGGCCCGAGGCTGCTCTTGACACGACTCTCAGCTGGGAGATCATGTACAGGGTGTTGTCGGGATTCTTCAAAGAGCCCTATTATTGATGCGATGGCGTGACATGCTAAACGCGCCACAGGATTCTTCGAAGCACCGTTGCTGACCGTGCTTTTTATGCGATGGCGTCGCGCGTGGCAAACAAGAGGCGCGATAAGTTCATGTGGTGGAGGGTTCCGAGAATGGTCCGAGAACGGTTCGAGAACGGTTTGAGAACGGTCGTCCGAGCCATGTGCCGAATAGATTCACACTTTTTGCCATGAGTTGTTTGATGGTGATTGCTTGGACTCTTCTTTCGTTGTCGACCTGTGGCTGCATGGGCACTAACTCCACGTGCTGATGCGTGTTTGTTGTGTTTTCTCAAGCATGTCGGCCAAAGTACAATGTGGCGAGGGAGTTTCTAACATCACAGGCAGCGCGATAAAAAAGTGGAGGGAGGAGGGGCTGAACGCGTTTCGAAAGGGTTCGTGGGATTCGGTGCCGGGGGTAACGAGTCCTCACCATGTAAAAAATGGAGGCTGCAGTGACTGTTTTTTTTTTTTAGACTAGCGTTGTTTAGTGATGTTTTTGTTCATTCTTGATTGGTGGGCGTAGCCATTTCATGTTCGTGAACGCTTCTCTCAACCAAGAGGTGGTGTGCTTTCGCGTGCAGCCATGTAGTGTGCGATGGATCGAACCGGACATGACGCGACAGGCATAGATGCTGTAGGTCGTTTCAGGGATGATGAAACCCCAGGCGACGGGGAGTACATTTTCTCGAAGGACCACATGGTAGGCATATAGAGTAGAAGTTGCCAAAAAAGTCTCGAGGTATCAAATAGTATTCGCGCCCGTTCACTCCAGAAGGGGGGAGAGGACTAAGAACCCATGGTTGCATTTTTCCGTATATGCGCGGTGTCGTTGGCGGGGGGAAATATTCCGCGTGGCCCCAGCCATGAGCCAGACTAATACAGGTACACAATGCGCTGGTGCATACTGCACTGCTGTAGTACCTGGTACTGGTGTACGTTGTCCTTCGATTTTTTATTTTTTTTGTGGGAATATATATGTGTTTGTTTGTCGCCCCCCGTCTTGCTGCACCCCCTGGGGTGTGGTGCAGGGCGGGGGATGCCTGGTCGGCGGGAACCCGGCACGGAACCCTCCGGCGTTGTAGGCGGGTGTGGGAAGCGTTCCCCGTTCTCCTTTTATTTTATTTTGATCGGTCTCCTCGACGCTCTTTCTCGTTTGGTGCGGTAGCTGGTCTTTCTTTCTTTTTGTTTCTCTTCCGAGTGGTTTTTGTACCCTATTTTTCTTCTGTTTCTTCGTGGGGTCGTGTATGCCGGGTTTTGAGACCACGGGCTCCCAATCTTTCTTTGTTAGAGCTAATGTGAGAAACAACAACAACAACAACAACAGCAAACAATCAAAGCATGGACTTGTGTGCCGGTCGTTTGGTTGTGAGGGGCGTGTGCGCCCTGTTAACCGAAGAGAGAACGGTGCATGCCAACATTCATAACCTTACATGTACCATGGTGTATGTGTGTGTGTTTTCGTCCTATTTATTATGGCGACAGTCCCATTTTTCGTGGTGAGACGTGTACTACACTTTTCAGCGTACGTAAAGTACTACACTTTTCAGCGTATTTTTTCGTACGACTGCAACCATCCAGGGTCACACAGGAGGGGGTAAACACCAGGGCTTTTTTCTTCTTTTTCTTTATTTCATGCCCGACCTTCCTCCTGCGGTGCGTGCTGTATTTTTTATTTTTATCGCGAGAAGGGTCCAGCCTTCCCTTTCCCTGGTCAACGGTGCTAACGTCGAAGTTTGGTACTCACGAGAGCTTGTCAGCAATATTTCGCGTTCACCCGCACGTTTCGTCAATTTTTCACCCCATGGGGATTCGAACTCACGACCTCTGCGACTAGCGGATTACGAGGATGCCACTAGACCACCGGGGCGACCGGTGTATACCAGGTATCAAACCACCAAAGCGGCGGTGTTTTTACCTCCGGCAGTGGGTGGCCGCGTACAGTGGCCGGGGGGTTTGAATGCGCGTGTAATGCCCGGATTCGGTGGTAAAGGGGCTACTATCCAATACTATCCAGTGGGTTGTTTCCAAGGGTTAGGCCCCGGTTGCCCGTGGTCTCGTGTATGCCCACACACGGACAGACAGAAACGAGCACGAAAAACAGCTTTTCTCGCCTCTGTTTGCACACTGACGCCTTTTGCGTGTTCGTCGGTTGAAAGATGGTCTCCTTCAGTTCTTGTTGTGTGCGAGTCGTCGAAGGGAGTGATTGTCATTCGGGTATGTATGCAAGAAGGCCACGCCAAACAAGCGCAAGCGTAAAGGGCAGCAAATTGATTGGGGAATACCGTAGATGAACCTCCTTTCAGTGGAGAAGCGATGCTGACGTTGGCGCTTACGGCGTTCATCCCCAGTCTACAGGTCTGAAAACGAAGTTCACAACGCGCTTTTTTGTTTGTCTCCCCAAAGTGTTCTGCTTGGCGCCATGCTTCCCTCTCTTCGCGCTTCTTGGTATTACTACTTGGACGAACGTGTCTTGCGTGTGGTGTCTCGCCTCCCCATCGACTCTGGTGCCGGTCTACACCTATCTACCTTCTGTACACAGCACTGCTGCAGTGTTTCCCTGCTGAAAAAGGCCGCAGATGTAAGGCCAACCGCCACTTGCCCTTAAAAGGCCATTGGAATCGCGTGACACAGATGGGATATTGTGTCAAGTGGGTGACTCATACTTTTAAGTAGTGCCTACAGTAGTAAGAAGCCCGCCAAACCCCGTGGCACCCCGCGGCTAAATACAAGGACCAACCGCTATTCTATGCTTGACGCAACAGCCGGGGTCACACACATGCGAGAAGGTACAAAATAATCACAGGAATTCGCCAATCACAAACGACGCGGTTGCCCGGCGATACGTGTCTTGCAACTCAAATCTCCTCCGTTTGTTAGTTTCGGCCGCGCAGCTCGTGCCATCAACCCACAAGCCGCACCGCTAATAGACTCTACTCGTCGGTTTCAGCTTTTTATCTATGGCAAACCAGAAAACGAGAGGCAGGACAGACAAATATAAACGCGTACGCGATACACTTAACCATACCTTATTCATGGAAAGCGCCGCCGTGCGTCCACCCGCCCTGTAATTAGAAAACTTTCGACGATATCAGTCTAAGAACAGAGGAACAGACAAATAACCGCCGGAAAAAAACGCGTGAATTCAAAAGCAAGGGATCAGCCAATCAGGCATCAGGCCTCCTCTTCCTTCTTGGTGGCTGGCTCGGCATCCACGGCCAATCCGTTGCTTTCGATCTCCCTGATGGTCTTTTGAGTCTTCGCCTCGCCTTCCTGGACACCCGCCTAAAAAAAAAAGAAAAGAAAGCGGGTGTGTCGGTAATGAAGCTCTCAAACACGGCATTGATCGAAATTCAACAAATGCATGCACGCTCATGGTCTGGAACGTCTTGAGCATGACACCCCGGATCGAAGCTTAAGCTCAGAAGCGGCCGTGACCTCCATGTGCGGAAGCCAGCAACAGACGAGCCCACAAGAGAAAGCCATGCCCGGGCACGCAGCCACAAGCAGGAAGGAGAACGGCCCTCCTGACGGCTCAGGTGGAAATAGAGCCTTCCCTTCCCTCCCCTTCTTGTGGTTCCTACAGAAGAGAGATTCAATGGATGCCGTTTGATGCTTTTCTATGGATTTATCGTGGACTGGTGAAAACTCGTGCTTCGAAGTATCAAAAGGAGTGTACTGCTGTACAGGTAGAGAACGAATTGAAAGCGGTTGCAGGGAGAAAATGCCGATGGCAAGCAAAATTCACCAAAAAAAAAGGGAAGATCGTTTCGCCAGGGTTGAAGTCACACGCCCATGTGTGCCTTTAGAACGGCATTGTATTTGGCCTATATACCCGGTGCTTCCGCCATAAAAAAAGAGATGCAAACAAGAAAAAAAGTACAACTCAGCTTTGGTTGGCTCCAGAAAATCATTGGCCCGGCTCCATTCTGCACATCGACCAACTTAGCGGCATTGACGAAAAAACCCGCCCCCCTCGTGTGATTGTTTCGAGAGTTCTTTCTTCTCCATCAACATCGTCGGTAGTTGCACCCTGTACAAAAGAACTGCCTCTCCGCCTCTCGCAACATTGGTAGGTACTCCTTGCTTCTTCCCCCGTTCTCGAGGGCAAAATGTATTGCCAAGCTCCTTGACAAGGTGTAACCCCAACCTCAACATTCCCGACTCAAAAGAGTCCAGAGAGAGAACAGACCACCACCTCCACCTCACCTACTGCTGTCTCTACACGCAAAGATTGTTTTTGAGGTGGTACACCGGGGGGGGGATGTACTCATAGTCGTGCATGCCGTAGTCGTTAGACCATTGACCTCGCATCCCTACAAAGCCGGGACGGAGCACGCCGGGTTCTCACCGGACCAGGCTCTCACATCACCAAGCGCGAAGCGCCGTGAGATATTCGGCGAGTCGCATGAAGGGTGCGCTGCATCCTGCTAAGGGTGTTCGGCATCTTGTGCTTACTTCCTTGCGTACGGATGACAGCTGCGTATGAATTAATTTATTTTCTGGTGCTTTCACTTCCAGAGACAGTTGTAAGCACTGTGTAACTGCCTCGAGGGTGCTTGACAATTTTAACACAACGTGGTGCGATCATCCCCCTTGCACTGAATGAGGGTTCTCCACCCCGCACAACATGATCTACTCGACCACCATCATGGTTA